TATTCCTAAAAGCACTCAAAGGAATGAAATCTGGCAGATGGATGTGTTCCACTTTACAAAATTTGGTAAATTGAAATATGTACACCACACCATGGACACATACTCAGGTTTTCAATGGACAACCGTCTTGAGCTCTGAAAAGGCTGATTCAGTAATCATGCATTTATTAATAGTTATGACCATCATGGGTATACCTGCACAAATAAAGACAGACAATGGTCCAGCATATGTATCTAACAAAATGAAATGGTTTTTTGCTTATTATAGTATAAAGCACATTACAGGTATTCCAAATAATCCTACAAGTCGGGCAATTATAGAAAGGTCAAATCCTACTCTAAAGGATATGCTGAACAAATAGAAAGGTATGGGAAATGTCCCCAGAAATAAATTGAATAATGCTTTATTTACCTTGAATTTTCTTAACACTAATGAGAAAGGAACAACAGCAGTGAGGCAATGGATAATGGAAAGAACTTCTGAATTGAATCAATCGGTTTATTTCAAGGATGTTGACCTCACAATAGAAGCCAGGAGATGTGCTATGTTGGAGAAGAGGTTTTGCTCTTGTTTCCACAGGAGAAGAAAAATTATGGATACCATCAAAATTAATAAAGATTCGTTTTGAAAGCAAGAAACCTACTAAAACAGAGAAATGACAGCTCATCCACAATGGTGACAGCCATACAGGAGGTAAGGAAAGCCATATAGGGTTGGGGCAGGGTTCTGCTCTTATCTTTGCAGAAAAATTACACATCGTCAAAACTTCAAGAGACTCTGGATGCTTGAATGCTGACAGAAGAAAAAATAACTATCCACTAAAGAGCATCTGGAAAACAGAATATGGTTTATGAATCCAGGTACTGTTTACACTTACATTTATACACAAAACACATACACACACACGCGCACATACATTCATAAATGGCTCTGTTCTTCTCTAAATCCAAGCTTGTTGTTAAAAGGAACATTCAAAGTTTCTGTCTCATATCGGGAGCCATCTGGTATGGAACAGAAGGAAGACTATAGGAAAAAATTTTTACTTTCTCCATGCCCACTTTGTCTATATCATATTCTTCATTGTATATATGTTTATATAAATGATGTTTAAGTTTACCATGATGTAGAATAGATTTTCCTACAGATCCTTTTCCTGCAGTAATCTTTGAAGTTTCCAGGAAGAAGATGGAGTCCCACAGCAACCAATCTACCTAGCTGAAAAGACATTGTGATGTATACAATGCTACTATAAGATCAGATTGGGTACCAGCTGCTTAAATGGTGCACCTTCTCATATTCTGGCCAGAACTCCAAATGAGAACTTTGGGGAAAAAACTGTTTACTGCTTGGAAATTGCTTGCAACTATACTACACAGTAATTTTGGAACTTAACCACAGCTTCATTTTTGCCAGATTCCATTAGGAGAACATCACCCTCAAGACAGCAAGAAGCAATTCTAAAAGATGATGCCCCCATTCCAAAAAAGTTTGTCTGTAGGGTTGGGAACACTGTTTAGGATTTGTTGATTATTACTTGTACTAGATGAAGGGTTGGGGTAAAAACTATGTTTGTTCAAAAAAATAGGGGGATAGTAAAGTGGGTAATAGAGGGAATACTTATGAGCTATTATTTATTTATTTCTGCCTCTGAAAATGGTCAGTTATACTAGGCTATAGCCAAGGTTGGTTGCTTCAACATTGCAAAATGAGACTTTGGGTGATTACTCAGGTAGCTAATTGTCTCTGTCATATATTGCTCACTTTGGAAGCTGCTTGATTGTACTTCCTGCCTGCTCAAGAATATTAGCTCCTTTCTCAGGCCTTCAATGTGGTTGAAGATTACATAGTTGTAGTTACTGTACTCTTATGATCTAGCCAAGCCATTTCCTATACAAGACTTAGACTCCATAGGATAAAATGTTTATTAAAACATGTAGCATATGTTACTTGCTTAATATTGTTTTTCTGGTTGTAATTCTAATTATACTTGATATCTGTTCCTAGTGTATATAGATTTGTATTGGGTTTGGAGCTCTTTTATTTAAACTAAAAGGGGGGGGTGCTGTGGGAGCACATTCTGTTCTTTTAGCCAATAGCCTTTAGGATACCAGCCCACTGGGGCATGGTCTCTTATACTTTAAAGAGCAGCCAGAAACGTAGACCTGCTCTCTTGCTTATGGCTCCCATTCCGGCTGCTAGACTCTGTTCCTGTTTGCGCTCAGAGGACTGTTGTTTAGGATGGTGATCTGTAAGTTTTCCCCTTATAAATAACCCTTTTATTACCCTAATTCTGAACTGATGTGGGATTGTTTTATAGTGTCACCCAGGTTTTGTTCCTAGCATCCACATGATTCAAAATTGCCTGGAACCCAAGTTACAGAAAATCTGATATTCTCTCTGACCTCTGTGGCAGTAAGCACAAAATGAACATACATATATTCATATAGAAAGGAGAGAGAGAGAGAGAGAGAGAGAGAGAGAGAGAGAGAGAATGAATGAGAACAGGGCAGTGGCAGCAGCTTCCAATCCTTAATCATGTCCTCTCCTGGGAGGCAGCACCACCTACTGTCCACATAGAAACCTACAGTCTGCTAAAACATATAACTGAAGGAGCCACTCCATGGGTTCAGTATAGGCAGTTTCAGTAATTCAGGCTAGAATAATTTAGAAGGTACACTGAACTTGAATTGATGAGATGACATTAAGATTGCACATATATGAAGTTGGTAAGGAGAACAGAACAGGAATCAAATGGGGCTAGAACTCAACAGCCATGTGTAGGGTCAATTACAAGAATGAGAGTGAATTCTGAACCTGGGTCTGCCTTGGAATTTTACTTCACTGCAGCAGGAAGGAGTGTGATGTGGTCCTTAGGAGAATCAAGTCTATGTTTCCCTGTATCAGAAAAGCAATTAGAAAACAGAAATTCTTTTTGTTGTTGTTGTTTTTATTTTAATTTATTTTTTAAAACTGTCTTTTCTCATTTTACATACCAAATCTTTTCCCCACTACCTCCCTTCCTTTTTCTTCCTCCACTTTCCCTCCACACATCCCCCTTCCACTCCCCAGAGAGATTAAATCTTCCCCCCTGGAGTCAACAAAGTCTAGCACATTGCTTTGAGGCAGGTCCATGGCCCTGCCCATAATATCTAGGCTGAGCAAGGTATCCCTCCAGAGAGAATGAGTTCCAAAAAGCCAGAAAAAGCAGTAGGGCTAAATTCTTATGCCACTGCCAGTGACCCCACAGTCTGCCCATCATACATCTGTCATCCACATTCAGAGAGCCTAGTTTGGTCCTATGCTGGTTCCCTCACTGTCAGACCAGATTGGAAAGCTTCCATTAGCTCAGGTAAGCTGTTTCAGTGGTTATCCCCATCATGGTCTTGACATCTTTGCTTGTATTCTCACTCTTCTCTCTTTGACTAGACTTTGAGAGCTCAGCCCAGTGCTCCACTGTGGTTCACTGCATCTGCTTCCATCTGTTGCTGGATAAAGGTTCTATGGTGACATTTAAGACAGTCATCAATCTGACTACAGGGCTAGGCCAGGTCAGGCACCCTCTCCACTATTGCTTAGTGGAGATCATCCTTGTTGATTTCTAGTAATTTCACTAGTGCTAGGTTTCTGGCTATCTTCATAATGGCTCCATCAATCAAGATATTTCTTTCCTTGCTCTCCATCTCTGTCCTTTCTCCCATCTCGACCATCCTAAGGAAACAAAAATTCTTTTTTTTAAATTGATTTTTATTGAGCTCTACATTTTTCTCTTCTCCCTTCCCTGCCTCTTCCCTCCCCTTCAACCTTCTTCCAAGGTCCTCCTGCTCCCAATTTACTCAGGAGATCTTGTATTTTTCTACTTTCCATGTAGATTCGATCTTAGTGTCTCATTGTTGTGTAGGTTCTCTGGGATTGTGATTTGTAGGCTGGTTTTCTTTGCTTTATGTTTAAAACTCACTTATGAGTGAGTACATGTCTCAAGGAGAAAGTGGCCAGATATTTTTCAATGGGTTGTTGATGAAGTTTGGCCATTTCCAATCCTGTCCTTTTATGAAGGGCAGCGATGAAAAGCCTTGTGGTTAGTATCTGGAGAGTCTACTGTCTTCTTTATTCACGGAAAGAAGCAGGTATTGGTGTGTACGTTGTGTGGTGTGTGTAGTGTGTGTAATGTGTGTAGGGTGTGTGTGTGTGTAGGGTGTGTATGGTATGTACGGTGTGTACTGTATGTGGAGTATATAGGGTATGTGGGTGTGTAGTGTGGGGGGTGTGTAGTGGGGGTGTGTGTAGGGTTTGTGGGGTATGTAGTGTGTGTAGGGTGTGTGGGGTATGTGGAGTGTGTAGGTTCTGTGGGGTGTGTAGTCTGTATATGGTGTGTAGAGTCTGTGGGTATGTAATGTGTGTAGGGTGTGTGGGGTGTGTAGTGTGTGTGTAGGGTTGTAGTGTGTGTAAGGTGTGTGATGTGTATGGAGTGTGTAGGGTGTGTTGTATGTGGAGTGTATAGTGTGTATAGGGTGCGGGGGGTGTGTAGGGTGCGTGGGGTGTGTAGGGTGTGTACAGTATGTGGGGTATGTAATGTGTGTAAGGTGTGTAGTGTGTGTTGGGTTTGTAGTGTGTGTAAGCTGTGTAGTGTGTGTGTAATGTGTAGGGTGTGTTGGGTATGTGGGGTATGTGGGGTGTGTAGTGTATGTAAGGTGTGGAGTGTGTAGGGTGTGTACATTGTGTGGGATGTGTAGTGTGTGTAAGGTGTGTAGTGTGTGTGTAATGTGTAGGGTGTGTAGGGTGTGTTGGGTATGTGGGGTGTGTGGGGTGTGTAGTGTATGTAAGGTGTGGAGTGTGTAGGGTGTGTAGGGTGTGTGGGGTGTGTAGTGTATGTAAGGTGTGGAGTGTGTGGGGTGTGTACAGTGTGTGTGGGGTGTGTAGTGTATGTAAGGTGTGGAGTGTGTAGGGTGTGTGGGGTGTGTGGGGTGTGTAGTGTATGTAAGGTGTGGAGTGTGTAGGGTGTGTAGGGTGTGTGGGGTGTGTAGTGTATGTAAGGTGTGGAGTGTGTAGGGTGTGTACAGTGTGTGGGGTGTGTAGTAAGCCCGAGCAGGGCCAAGCTTCATTCCTGCCACTTGCATCTCATTCAGTCATGAGGAATGAGTGAGGAAGAGACTGAGGGACCCACTGGGCAGCAGCCTTAGAGTCTCAGGGTGATAGAGCTGTGATGATTTAGGAGCCCAAAAAGGGGGAAGACCTGTCTGTCAAAGGAAGTTTGGAAGGTGTAGATGTGTTTGCTAGTGATGGCATCATAGAAGATGACATCTCCACGGTCATAATCCACATAGATGCCCACTTTCCTAAGACAGATTGAGAGATTCTTCTGGATACTGGAGTTGGTGATTGGCTGACATCCAGAGGACGAGATCCGCAATGCCCACAAGCAGCATGGCTCAGAGTTCTGAATCTGGGACCCCCGAGGCAACTCGGCGACCACACCCACTATGCCAACCCTATCTGGGGGTCCCTGGATTTCCACCTCCCACAACACACGGCCTGAGGAGAGGCCTGGGGAGCCCCTCACACAGTGGAAAGAATAGAATTGTCGAGGTTTTGCTTGCGTATTCAGTGTGCCATCGATGACATACAAGCTTGCTTTCTTTAGATCCTGAGAAAAGGTGAGGTTTAGGTCAGCTGAAGTGGAGTCCAGGGTCATAGGTACTGTGGGAAGATAAAGAAGAGTGAAGAGGGATAGTTTCAGGTCAAGTCCTCCAGCACCCTGCTTTTGAGCTTCTCATGATGTAGCTAGAGAAAGAATTTCTCCTTCAAATTCCAGTCCCTGTCTTCAGAGAAGACTCCTACCTGTTTCTTTTTGTTTTCTGAGAAGGGGATCTCATATAACCCAAGTAGGGCTGAAATTTTCTGTGTATCTAAGGACGATCTTGACCTTCTCATCTTTCAAACTGCACCTCCCTAGTGCTGGAATTATAGATGTGGGATACCATGCCCATGCTCCCTACACCCCTCTCTCCAGTACCTTTCCCCACACTCCATCCCCAGGCCTCAAACTTAGCTCCTGATTTTATGAGGTTCTTTTCTGTGGGTGCGGAGGGAAGCTCCCCTAGTCCACATGGTAGTAGAATCATTTCAGGAAGAGGTCTTGAACAAGGTGATAACACCCTGGACAATTTGGATCTTCTAACAATGAAGATATGTCTTCTCCATTTCCACATTGCCTGGTTCTCATATGGCAGACAATTGGAGCTACTATGAGAGATCAAGGTTCAGCCTGATTTTCTAAAGCTGGGGTCACCACTAGCCTGACTTTCTAAAACTGAGTTCCTGAGGCCAGGGGTTGACTCAGCTGACATGGCCTGTGCCCCCAAGCCTGACACCTGATTTCAGTCCAGAAACCCACATGGTGGGAGACTGACTTCCCCACTCATCCTTTGACTCCCACACAAAGGCACGTGTGTGCATACGTGAGTGCACATGATAGAATGGAATCCCTCAAACACAGGAGGACTGAAGAAGTGGATATTCAGAGACCCTTGATATGTCCACACCCTCATGTTATGGGGCTCAGACATTGAATGGCAGTTTATCAAAGCTACAGAGTCTTTATCTGTCCTATTCAAGACTAGAGCATCAGTGGTCCTGGCTCTGCTAAGGTTTAGAAAGTGGGAACATTTTAGCCCCTCATTTGCTGCAATGCTAGTTCTCCTCTGCTGTGTGTGGGGTTGGGGAGATGGTGGATGTGGAAGTGTGCATTAGAACAACTGGTCAGGGTCACTGGGGTAGGCTAGGGAAATGACCCAAGCAGATCTTACCCCTTTCTGATTCACAGACGTGGCTAAGTTGTATTACTGGGGGCAGAGGGATAGCGACAATGGCCATAGGGGAAGACAGTGGTAGGAATTTCTAAGGTCTACCGGGGGCATCAGAGTCAAAGCAATTGGAGAAGAGCAGCACTGGGTGAGAATGACCACCATGTGGGCTTGTCTTCTGTTTTGGTGGAGGTGCTCATTGCCAGGCACGGTGGTGCATATACCTCTAATTCCAGCACTTGGGAAGCTGAGACAGGAGAACTACCATGAGTTCAAAGACAGTCTGGGCTACATGAGATTCTGTCTCAAAAGCAAACAAAAAAACAAAGGACTGAGGGAGGTGCCTTGGCTGTGCAGGCATGAGGACATGAGTCGTGATACCCAGCTTCTAAGGATAAAATCTGGGTGTGGTCCTGGCACACCTGTAACCCTGGTGCTGAGTAGCAGGGATGACTGGATAGCAAGACAGCCCAAGCTATAGTGAGCTTGACGTTCAGTGAGAGATTTTGTCCATGAAACTAAGGAAGAGTGTGAAAGAAGATGCCTAAGTCTAGCCTCCATCAGTACACATGCACACACACACACACACACATATGTACCACACACACACCACATACCACAGACCACACAGACACCACAGTCATGCAAATACACACCACACACACAAACACAAACACACACACACACCACACCACACCACTCACAGGCACACACATAATACACACCACACAAATACACATGCATACATGCACATACACACCACACATGCACACCACACTACACTACACACACATACACACCATACCACACACACACAACCACACATATATACACCACACAAAACACACACATAAATGCAAACACATACCACACACACCACACAAAGATACATACACACCACACACACATATGCATACACCACACACATACACACACATACACACACACATGCACACAGGCACACATACACTGTACACACAGACACCACACACCACAGATACACCATACACACACGCCACACACACATGCACACACGCACACATGCTCACACACCAGCCAGAGGGAGAAAAGAAATAAAGAACTAATAAAAGACCGGTGAGACGGCTTGGCAGGTACAGATACAGATGCTTGCTGCCTAAGCCCAAAACTCACATGGAAAACTCACATAAGGAGAGAACGGTCTTCACAAACTAGTCCTCTCCCCTCTGTTGTGTGTAAGTATGCGCATACAATAATAACCAAGAAAAGAAATATTTTAAAGGGAAAGCCTAAAGGGGGTGGGGGAGCAAGAAGGAAAGAGGAACATCCAGGGGTGCGCAGCCCACAACTCTGAGGCTGTCAGTGTGCACAGAGCCCAGCTCACACCTAGCTCCTCCTCCAGGAACATGGAGTAAGGGGCCCAGTTTTGCTCTAGAGCAGAACTAAAGGGAGGGGAGGGGTGCTGTCCCACAAAGGAGGCTTCAAAGTGAAAGGGGAAACAATAGGGCTGAGCATTAGGTACTGCTGTGCTCCAGAGGTAGTAGGAGGGGCATAGACCAAGCAGCAGGGTGCACCTGCACATTAGGGGTCCCCTGTTGGCATCTAGGCCTTTCCATGGAAGGTATAGCTTGGGGAGCAGAAGAGGGAGATGCCTGGCCCTCATTCTAAGTCTACCCATCTCTGGCCCCTGAAGTCTGTACAATTACACAGTCCTTCTCTGTCCCTCCTGTGGGAAGCCTTACTCGTCTTTCCAATCTTTTTTTGTTCCTGTATTTTCAGGGGAACTGGGAGCAATCAGGGTGTTCTGCATGTTAGGTAGCTCTTCCCAGGGTCTGGTCTCTAACTTTCCTCTGCTGTATCAGAGCCGTGAATGAACAGAAAACTTTGACCTGCACACCTAGCAAATCCTTGCTTCCCTACAGGAAGACCCGTGTGTCAAGCAGGAATCCTACCTGAGCTGAGCAACTCTGACTTATTCTTCTGTAACAGGCGCCCTAAGATTTGAGAAAGAAAACAAATTTACGTTAATAACAAGTAGTTATAAATTAAAAGTCATATTGGAATGAGCAGCTGATCCTGGCATTTATCCTAACTACCCTCAAAGCTGAACCAATCAGATGACATCATTACAGGTCTTGTCGCTGTGGATCTCAACTCCGCAGCTCTTCTGGGTTAACTAGGCCTGTTTGGTCAGCTCCAGCTACCGACTGAGCTGCCTCTACTTGAGCCTTGTGCAATGAAGAAATAATTCAATAAATTTCCATTCATCATGAACAATTTTAATTAGTCAGGGTGTCACTATGATTACCCAAAAGTACAATAATAGAACAATTCTGTAAGCTTGTTCTTCATTGGTGTTCACACACACACTGGACCTTTCATCCTCAATCTCCCATTGAGAAGACATTTTGTATTCTTCACTTTCCCCAAACACCAGGTTATGTACACACTTAAGGTTCTTTATGTCCTTTATATTCATGATATTCAGGAATTGCTTTTATCTTCCTTCCCTTCAGTGGTCAGGTTGTCTGTGAGGGAAGTCGACAGAGGTTAGGCAAGCAATGGGGACCACACCGTGAGGCACTGATTGCTGATGTAGGAAGATGTGGTACTGGGATTTCTCTCATAGTCTCAGCGGACCAAGAAGGCAGCAAACAGGGAGAGCTGCCCTAGGGTCTCCCTGATGTGGCTCTCCAGAACAGCTCAGTCCAGAACAGAAGTATTAGGAACCACAAGCATAAGCCACTGAATTTGGGCTTTTCTGGATGCTATTTTGAAACCCTAAAGGACCAGGGCATGCTGACACTCAGGAAGCTGACACAGCAGGATGACAACTTTTAGTCCACAGGACATAGTGAGTTCCAGTCTCTCAAAAGGAAAGGAAAAGGGAACTGGAAAGAGGCCTCAGTGGTTAAAAGCACCAGGGACCCAGTTCAGTTCTCAGCATCCACTGAAGCTCCAGTCCCAGGGCATCTGTCACCGTCTTCTGACCTTTTGGACACCAGGCATATACACAATACATGCACACAACACCCATACACATAAAGTAAATAAAACATTTTAAAAGGAAATGAATACAATGAATTTAAATAGTATGTTTTCTTTAGCTTAGAATGTTAAAACATACTGCCATTTCAGCATGTCCAATAAAGATTGAGTGCTACCTGGGATCAGTACTGGGTGATGGAGACCCAGTTACACAGAAGATCACTGTGGTCTTCCATAAGAGAGTACCCTGGACAATATTTTTGTTTGCTTTTGTTTTCATTGCTATATTTTATGTTCCATTTTAATATTAAGTCTTTCAGAGTCAATGTGTATTGTTTACTTACACTATGTGTGAATGCTGTGTTTTGGTGCCCAGGGGTACAGGTGATAAGCAACACCCAAATTGGGAACATACTTCTAGTCCCATGTTCACCACCAAGTAAACAAGGAAAATTTCTGAGCTCAGAGGTGCTTTGACTCTGGGGATGTAGCTCAGATAGCAGAGTGCTTGTCAAGCAAGCATGAAGTCCCTCATTCTATCCTCAGCACTAAACCTGATACAACATAGCATGAGAAATGTTTGCATAATGGTTCTTTGAAGGTACTCAGCAATCAGCCTGGGTTCTGAAAGGCTCAGGGGCTGGCACCAGGGACATCAGGCAGTATCTAGGTTGATGAAAACAATTCTAAGGCAGGTAAGCAAAGGAAGTGGCAGTCACATCTTACCTGTTAATTCCATCAGGCTTTCTATGTTGGGCTCATGTCTTGCTTTTACTTCATTGATTTTTTTCTCCCTGTTCATAGGAACTGGGGTTGGGTTGTGAAACTCAAATTCTTTATCCCTGTGAAGATATGTTGATCTTAGTGGTTAAGTTTGGGGATAGAGTGTGGGCAGGAAGGATCTAGGAGATGGTTCCTGGTGAGGAGGCAGAGTGATAAATACAGTCTAGAGCCAGGGAACTGAGTGTCAGGGAGTGTTGACAGAGGTTTCTGTTCTGCCTGGTCCCACAGTCTTTCTGTCCCAAAGAAACACACAGAGGTCTACATAAATTATAAACTGCTTGACCTATTAGCTTCAGGCTTCTTATCAACTCTTACAATTTACATTAACCCATAATTCTTGTCTCTATTAACCATGTGGTTTGGTACCTTTTATCAGCGAAGTATTCTCATCTTTCTTCATTTGTTTCTGGGTGATGACTCCAGACGTGCCTTTCCTCTTCCCAGAATTCTCCTGCTCTGCTCGCCCTGCCTATACTTACTGCCTGGCTACTGGCCAATCAGCATTTTATTAAACTAGTACAACTGATAAAACTTTGCAGGATATAACACCATTGTCCCACAGCAAGGGGACCAGGACAGGAATGCAGGGCTGAATGAGATCAGACCCATGACAATATGGAATTGAAGATGGGAGATGGACCAGAGAAGAGAGAAGGGACAGGAATTAGGCAGGTAGAGTAGGAAACCCAAGGTTCACCCCATTGACCAAGAGGAATGTGGGAGAGGAATGAAGCTGGGAAAGAAAATACTGATCTTCTGTGTGATTATTTCAGGAGTCTGAGCAGCCAGGAACAAACAAGCAGCCTCAATACAACAAACTGGTGCTCAAGCTTGTGCCAGTTTAATCTGCATAAAACCTAAGAAAGTAAAAAGTAATTTTAGACACAAAAGAACAGAGTTAAGCATGGCTTCTTGGTAACCAGCATTTTGCTAATGGCATGCTGCATCTCCTTTAAGAGAGGTCTTCCTGATTCAGCAGTAGCATAAAAAAAAACCTGTGCAGTTTTCAAATGGTGGCTTTGTGGGCCATGCTGCCAGCACGAACTCTGGCTCTTTCAGGAGGCTCAGCCTTTAAATGGGGTTTTTGGGGAGTGTGCTGCAAGTTACATGGTGGCAGCATGAGCCAACCGATTACCAGAGTTGAGATGGTGAGCGTGGCTCCTACCTAGCAGTGTCAGAGGCAGTGAAGAACTTCCACCATGTTGGACTGGGCAAGCAAGCAGGCAGAGCCTTGTTTGTCCTAGCAATGCTACCACTTAGGTTCTTAAGAAGCACTTAGCATTTTAAGAAGTCATCCTATTCAGAAAAGGATTACAAATATGCAATAAGGACAGATTCAGACATAAAAGACCTGTAAATGAGACAAAGTATATTTAAAAAATGTACATAGGCTTGGGAGAGAGAAGACAAAGTGTATAGAGAGTTATAAAAGGAAGTAAATGGTTTATTAAAAAAACAAGTCTTTAAAGAGACAGAGTATAGACTGTCACAGAATAAAGGAATAAAGATAATAAAATAAATATTAAAAAGTTATAGAGTAAGAAATTAAGCCACATAAAGATGGAATATACACATAGAGTCTGGATAATGTATATTATTGTGTTTTCTTTGAATTTTTTGGCTGTGAAGGAGCTAAGTACAGAGACACATTTCATTGTATGGACTGCTAAGTTAAGCCAACATAAAGGTGTCTTGACTTCAGAATTTGGGTCTAAGGATTTGTTGCTTTGGAAAAGAGGTTCTACTTTTGTTTCCACAGAGGATGAGAACCTGTGGATTCTTTCCAGACAAATGTGGTTTGATGGACCACCCAAAAGGTTTCCATGAACCTCTCCCCCCCCCAAAAAAAATACCTTGCCAACAAAAAGCAGGAAGCCATTTGGAAATAACTATGCCAAAAATTCCCAAATATTGTTTATGTTTCTTTACATTTAAAGGGGGATATGCTATAGAGATTTGTATTGGTATAGATCTTGGATTATAGATATAATTTTAAGGACAACTTTGTTATATGTATATTTTTGTTGTTGATTAAGATATTGTGTTTGTGCAGCTCATTTAAATATGTAATGTATAATTTAAAAATATAGGTTAATAGATAATCATCTATAATAGTCAAGCTTGTAGTCATGTTAGTTAAATATATAGAGATATATTTCAGTTAGATAGGTATTCTTCAAGTCTGTCAGAGACATTCAGAAAATGGTATTTAAAACATTTTAAAAATTTAGACTTTTCATGACAATGAGACATATCTGCTCCTGGAAACTCCAATTACTTCAAGAGGAAGATGGGTACTGAAGAGGTTCCTTATGGCATCGGTTAGCCATTTTGTCAAGAAACTGCTCTTTCCTGAACTGCTTGATGCTATGCTGTATGAACTAGACATGCAGGGTCCACAGAGAAATTACTGCTGAATTTGCATAAAGGTAAGACGATCCTTTGGGGTTCTTGCTTCATGAAAGAGTGTGATAGACATTCTGCAGGACACAGAAGAAAGTGACTGATAAACTGCCAATATAGGCAGAATTGCCTTTAAAATTTCTGATTTATGAAAAAGTCTGCTGGTTAAAGTGGGCCTGTAGGCTGAAGATGGATGCCCCAAGAGTACAGAAGAACTTTGGGTGACTGTCCAGGAAGCAAAATGTCTCTCTCAATTCTAGAGTTCTGGGAGTTGCTTATAATGCACTTCCTGTTTACTTAGGTAATATTACATCCTTATGGAGTCTTTGATGGAGTTGAAGAATAGATAGTTATAGTTTTCCTTATTTATGATAAAAGATAAAGTAATTATAAATATTGTAACTGTAATTCTGCTTGATGCCTCTTTTGTTATATGTAATTTTACTATGTTAAAGTTAAAACCTTCCTTTTTATTTAAACAGAAAGGGAGAGGTGATGTGGGAATCCCATCTGTATACTGTGAATACCATTGGTGAATAAAGAAACTGCCTTGGCCTGTTGATAGGGCAGGGTAGAGCTAGATGGGGAAAACTAAATTGAATGCTAGGATAAAGAGGACAAAGTCAAAGAGAAACCATGGAGCTGCGACCAGAGACAGACATGTTGGAACCTTCCCGGTAGGCCACAACCGTCATGGTAAAATATAAAAAACTGGAAATGGGTTACTACTAGATGTAAGAGCTAGCTAGAGATGCACTTAAGTGATTGGCCAAGCAGTGATTTAAATAATATAGTTTCTGTGTGATTATTTCGGGAGCCTAAGCATGAGGGAAAACAAACAAGCAGCTTCCTACAACAGATAAAACCCATGAAAATATTGAACTAAGATGAGAGATTTATCAGAGGAGAGTTGAGGCAGTAGGGAGGTAGAGTAGGAAACCCAGGATTCACCCCCTTGATCAAGAGGAATGTCAGAGGGGAGTACATATAGGATTAAAAGGCTGCTCTAAAGCTGGGTATTGGTGAAAAGCGCTGTGCCCAGCAAACCACATGCTACTGTGGCCAGCTTGGTCTTCCCCACCTGCAGCCTAAAGAGTTTATAGTTGAGTTATTGGAAGATGTGAACATATTCGGATATATGTTGAATGTTGTATGTGTGAGTGAACCAGAAAGCACAGTGCACTTGGGATGCCCATCATACCTGCTCAAGGTGTTTTTGATGCCCTGGAAGAGAAAGAGAGAACAATGTCAGAGCTTACCTAGTCACAGACACCAAGAAGGGGTTCAGACTCAGCTGGAGGCAGAGTAAGAACACCCCAGTTTCTACTCCCTCTTTCCTCTCTCTGTCTTTCTGTCTCTGCTGTCTCTGTCTGTCTGTCTCTGCCTATGGTTTTTTCTCTCCCCACCTCCCCCCAAACTGCTACCCCCAAAAGTCCTGATATAGTTGGGATGATGTTTAAACCTCAGGAAAAAAAGAGTAAGTATGGAAGAGTGACATTTGGGAGATGGGTGTTGCCTGTAATATAGATCCAGGGAGCTCAACTTCGCGGTGTTAGGACAAAGGTGGAGTGCCTCTCCATGGTTCTTTAAAGAAAAAAAAAAACATAAACAAAACAGAAACCAGGTGTGTTAGTCCTGAAACTTGTTTGTCCTATTATTCCTCCCTCTTGGTTTGTTTGTTTGTTTTTATCTGAGACAGTTTAATGTATCTCAGGCTGGCTCAAATTCTCTGTGTAGCCAAGAACAGTCCTGAACTACCGAATCTTCTGTGCCTGACTGTGAGCACTGAGAGGACAGGAATGCACTAACACCTCAGTCCTCCCCACCAATTAATTTTTACTATTTTAAATCTAAATTTAAAAATTAAAGCATTGTAAGTACAACTTTATTGATTTAGTAGGACTAACTACATTTTACCTCAGCAATTAATGATTTAGCATCTAAACAGAAATGTGTAAAATAAGAATTCAAAGACTAAGAACTAAAAAAACCCACAAACATGGAATAGCTCAAAAATATGTCTAAAGAGGCTGGCATGATTACATTTGGAATATTGGATTAAATAAATTGTTTAAAGTGTTTTTATTAATATTACTTTTTTTTTTTTTTTTTGGTTTTTCGAGACAGGGTTTCTCTGTGGTTTTGGAGCCTGTCCTGGAACTAGCTCTTGTAGACCAGGCTGGTCTCGAACTCACAGAGATCCACCTGCCTCTGCCTCCCGAGTGCTGGGATTAAAGGCGTGCGCCACCATCGCCCGGCTATTAATATTACTTTTATCTGAATTTTTTTTTTCCTGCTTGGCCTGGAATTCCATTTGTGAACCATGTTGACTGTGAACTCACCTCTGCCACCCAAGTGCTGGGATTAAGGGTGTACCACTATGCCTTATTTATTTTATTCTTTTTAATGTAGCTACTAGAAATGTAGCTTGAAATATAGTTCTTTTCATTGCATTTTATTTAAGATTTATTAATTTTAAAGAATAATCTGAAAAATATTTTATTAATTTAAATATATGAATATATTATGTATGACTGCTCTGTCTGCTTATATGCCTACATGCCAGAGGAGGGCATCAGATATCATTATAGATGGATGTGAGCCGCCATGTGGTTGCTGGAAATTGAATTCAGGGCCTTTGAAAGAGCAGACAGTGCTCTTAACGAATGAGTCATCTCTCCAGCCCTATTTTTATTATTTTTAAACTGTGTATATACGTGTGTCTGTATGTGGGCATGTAAATGAGAATGCAGATACCCTACAAGGCCAGAGCGATCAGATCTGGTTCTGCTGTTAAAGAAGGAGGTCAGAGGAAAACATGTGAGAATTGGCCTTGTTCTTCCATCATGTGGGTCTGGGATTGGTGGCAACTGCCTTTGCACAATGAGTCTGAGAGATGCTTTTAAGTAATATGTGTCCACATTACAATTCTAAACTGTGAGCTGGGAGTAGTGGGTACATGAAGGGGATTGGGAGATCAGTAATTCAATGTAACCCCTGGTCACATGACATTTGTCCTAACACTGCCAGGCTGCCTGGGCTGCTTGAGATCCTGCCTCAAAGAACAAGATTAAATGCTCTGGAAGTCTTTTTGGCTCTATTTCTTTTTCTCTTTTCTTTTCATTCGTGTGTGTGTGTGTGTGTGTGTGTGTGTGTGTGTGTGTACCTGTGTGTCTGTGTATCCAGGCTGTCCTTGAACTCTAGTGGGCCAGGGAAGCCTCCTACCTCTGGAGTACTAGAATTACAGAGGTGAGACACCACACCCTAAAGTCACTATTAGCAGCCCCCACCCTGTCTTTCTCAGGGATCAAACCAATTTTCTCCTTGTATTATGTGATCCTGAGGGTCAAAGTCAAGTCCTCAGACTTGGTGGCAAGTGCTTTTAGTCTCTGAATTATCTCCCCTGTCCCCAAAGTACTATTCTGATTATTCTTCCTGCCTTGTTTACAGATTGGTATTTCCCAGAACCTGGCCCTATGAGCTCACTGGGCCCAGCTGCAAACTGCCAATTCAAGTGTTAAGACTGCAGCAGTCAGTGCCAACCAGATGGAAAAGGCAGCAGCTCCCAGGTCCCCGGGGAGTTCCACTCTGCTGAGCTGGGGACAGAGAAGGAGGCAGGTGCCTACCTTGTAGTTCTGGGCAGCCTCATGTATCAAGGTAACTTCGTGGGTTTTGTGGTCCCTGGAGACACGACACTCCCTGCAGAGGAACTTGTTATACTTCTCACAGAAATAATGGAACTTTTCCTTGTGCTCCGGACATCTTGGCACTTCTTCTGTTTGGAACTCAGCAGGATCCATAGCCTGGATTTTCTCTGCAATACTAGCCAACAGCTTATTGGGCCTCAACATATTCTTATTCACAGGGAGTTTGCAGAGCGGACATTGGAGGTTTTCTGTAGTTTTCCCAACCTGATTGATGCATTGCAGGCAGAAGTTGTGCCCACAGTCAGTGGTGACAGGATCCTGTAGAATTTCTATGCAGATGGGGCAGGTCACATCCTCCATTAGTTTGCTGGCCCGCTTTAGGCTTGCCATGATGGAGGAGCAAGGCTAACTTGATATGTGAAAGCCCAGAAGTCCGAGGCAGGTGCCAGTACTGGCAAGAGAAAATGAAACAGGAAGCAGAGGCTAAAGAGCCTCTCAATTGGAAGACTAGAGAAGGACAAATGAACAGGGGGTAGAGTAAATGAACAGCAGAGAAGAGGAAAACTTATGGGGAATATTGTAAAGAGAAGAAAACAGATGGCCAGTCCTACCTCACCGTCTCTCAAGAACAAACAGACACTGTGAGTTCCTCCTTCCTATAACACAGAGCAAGGATCCCTGGACCTTGAACTAATTATCTTTACAAAGCAGTTGTTTGAGAACAGAAGATTCAAGCACCAAAGTTCACTCTACTACAGGGAGGGAGTGGAGCGGCTAAGTGTCATTTCAGGGAGGTGTGCTAACCCCCTAGATCTCTTACTTCCCCCACCTGTCCTCTATTGGTTTTTTCTCCCTGTCTCTGAGCCATCCTTTGTACTGTTTGGCCTAACAGTTTCTTCCTCTCTCTCTGTCCTTCTTAGATCCCCAGCTTGCCTGACCTGTTTCCTTTATCTTGACTAGGAAAGTATCCACTAGTAGCTCAATACTTCACTTCTTAACCCTTCCTCTTTCTCTTTTGTCCCCAGGATCACACTGCTTCTTCCTTCCTCTCCCCCACTTCCCTGGCTCGCTTTTCTCCCACCCCCATTCCCCACACCTCTCCTCTCTTCTTTCATTAAAAACCAAATTGCTCATTTTTCAATTAACTAAAAAGACTTAGGTTTACTTATCTTAATTTCATGTGCAAAAGTGTTTTGCCCTCATGTAAGTATACACAGTGTGTATGCCTAGTACCTACAGAAGTAACGGAAAATATTGTCTCTCCCATGGAAACTGGAGTTAGAGCAGTAGTGAAGAGACTATGTGGGTGCGGGAACCCTAGCTGTCCTGGAACTTGTTCTGTAAACCAGGCTGGCCTTGAACTCAAATTCACCTGCCTCTGCCTCCTGAGTGCTGGGATTAAAGGCAGGAGCCACTACCACCCATAGCACAAAAAACAAATGCCCAGAGACAGAAATTGGGGTTTAACCCAAAAAGTAGAAAAGCAAAGCAGCCAAGCCCCTAGAGAAGTCTAACCTCTACCAAGGCTGAGTGACCACAAACTAAACTGACTAAGTGTCTCTCTCTTCTCATTTTATATTCCCTCTAGTACTGGGATTAAAGGTGTGAGACACCTACACATGGAATTGTTTCTGCATTATCCTGTGTAGCCCAGGGTGGCCTTGAACTCACAGAAATCCATCTGCCTCTATCACCCAAATTCTGGTGTTAATGGTGTGTGTCACCATTTCCTGACCGTTTGTGGCTTTAGCTTTGCCTCTTGTCTTCAGGCAAGATTTATTGTATTAAAATACAAATAATATACCACTATAACCACCCAGCTACTTATATCTTTAATAGTTACGTATTTTTATTTATAAGAGTATTTTGCCCACAAGTATGTATTGCACCATATGCATGTCTGGATCCTGTGGATGTCAGAAGTGGGGTAGGATGGCCTGGAACTACAATTACAAAGGGTTATGAATCACCATGAAGGTTCTGGGAGCCAAGCCTGGGTCTTCAGCAACAAGTGTTCTTCACCCTTGAGCCGTCTTTTCAGCCCTTTATTTATGTTTTATAACACACAGTCCGGGTGGTTGGGAAAAAACACAGAGTCCAGTTAGTGCCAAGCATCTGCAAATGATGTGGGACCATCCTCTGTAGCAGGGACAACTACAGTTCCACAACCCCAAAGACAATGACTGTCCTTCCCCAGCACACATCAGCTGCCAATGGCTCCTCAGAGTGAGGTGGGGAGTTAGGAACCCTCTCCCCTCCAGCTGGAATCTTAGCTGACCTGATGTTGTACAGGCAACCACAGCTGACAGGTTCTTGAGTGTGAGGTCGTTGCCAGGTCGCACAAGGCTGTGGCTGATCTTGTGGTTATAGCCCCAACAACCATTCATTCTGATTTCCTGGGGGACAGTCCTAGGTTTACTTCTGTCCTGATATAAATATCAACAGCATTTCCGTTCATTCTCAAAAGTACCCACTCGTGAGACAGCGGTCACCTTGATTATAGCACTGTCAGTTTAACACCCTTTTCTGTGTGTTTCAATTTAACGTTGAATTAAAGTAAATGTCTGTGTAAGGATTTATACCTTGCATTCATACTCAGTTGTCAGATGTAGAGGTAAATTTATTTTAAATTAAATTATATCTTTAATTTAAAGTTTTTATCTTTAGATATTAATACTTCTTTGAGTGTATAGATAGGTCTTTTGCTTGCCAGTCTGTGAACCACATGCAATACTCCTGAAAGCCAGAAGAGGGCATCAGATCTCCTGGGATTGGAGTTCCATATGGTTGTGAACATTGGGTACTGGAAATCTAACCTGGTTCCTCTGGAAGAGCAGTAAATGCTCTAAACCACTGATCCATATCTCTAGCTCCCAGAATTTAATTTCCAGGCAAGTTTTGTTAAGAAATAATGACTGCAGGAGAAGACACACGCAAGGAGAAACCATGGGCCTGCCCAGCACTGTTACAGTGAGAAATACAGGGTGGGCTACGAGAGTGGCAGGGACAGAATGGTCACGTCCTGTGGAGAGAGGCGGATCTGCCGAGGTGAAGGAGACAGAATGATCACGTCCTGTGGAGAGAGGCGGATCTGATGAGGTGAAGGAGACAGAATGGTCACGTCCTGTGGAGAGAGGCGGATCTGATGAGGTGAAGGCAGCGAGGAGCGGCCTAGGTAGGTGGCTTGCTTGCCACCTTGGGCTTTGGTGATTTCTGGGTCAGGGCTGCTGCCAGACCCATGTCTGCTGCAGCTGTGTTCTGCGTTGATGTCCATGGCTCCTGTTACCACCGAAGGCTGAGTGGGTAGGGATGCACAGAATTATTATCCTCACCCCTCTCTGGCCGCAACACTAGAGAGAACTGGTCTTGTTCCTCACGAGCAGCAGCACTCTGGAGAGTCGATCCTACACTTCACCTGGGCAGCACAATAGAGCTGACCCTGTTCTCAGGGGCATGGGCAAGCTGGCCCTGCCCCTTCTCCAGCTGTAATACTCAAGAGAGTGGGCCCCGTGCCTGCTCAGTGCCAGGTGGGAGAGCCAGCCCCACCTCTCACCAGCTGCAGCACTCACGAGACTGGCCTTGCATGGGAAACGCAGCAGAGCTGGCCCTGGTTGCTGAGGTGTGGCTGAGCCGGCCCTGGGTGTGAAAGCAGGAGAACCAGCAGCACCGTTTCCCTGCAGCATCGTGAACTAGCCAGAGCAATGCTGGAAGGTTCACCCCTATGGTAAGTGTCAGGGAGAACGGGCAGGCTGGTCCACCCTGCAACCACCCAGGCCCAGAATCAGGGCTCTGAACTGGCCCACCCTCGCATCTACCCCATCTATAATCTGCTGGCTAGATAAAGCTGCAGGATCTTCACAACACAGGGCAACAGCAGGATATTCAAGAGGAGTCCCAATGAGGGCCCAGCATCGACAGTGTAGCAGAAACCAGAGGCCTCGAACCAGACCAGTAACTCTTTGCAATGAACACTTGCAAGTAAAGATGTATGTGCTAAAGGTTAAACTGTGGGACTCACTGAGCCACACTACACTTCCCACAACGAGATTTTCCCTTTTCTTTCTTTTACTTTCTTATTCAATTGTATTTCATTTTATTTTAGTGGGGGAGGTTACAAAGGGTGGATACATAAGGATACGTAAGGATGGGGAAATGAATGGGATTGAGATGCATGGTGTGAAACCACGAAAAATAAATAATGTTAAAAAATAGAAGAAATAAAGGAAAAAAGAAAGAACAAAAGGAAGAAAGAAAGAAAGAAAGAAAGAAAGGGAGAGAGAGAGAGAGTTGCAATGCCCTAATGAGGGTAACTATCCGCACCACTGCCTATTTTATCCAGGCTCCCCAGACCCATAATGTATGTTCTGATTTACAGATTTCTTCTGTATGTCCTGTTTCACTTAAGTCTCTCCTCTAAACCAGAAATCCTGTTGTCCAGGAAACTGACCATGTTTCAGAATCACCTAGAGTGTGAAAGATTCACCAAGACACCAAGGTAGACACGCCTGTCATCCCAGCCCTTGGGAAGCAGAGGCGTGAAGATGAGGAGGTTGTCCTGAACTGCACATGTCCCTGTCTCAGAAAATAAAAAGTGGGCTGGGAGATGGTTCAGTGCTAATGAGTACATACTGTCCTCGCAGAGGACTCTATCTCTCCAGCCCCTGTTTAGAGTTATCGTACATGGGATTTCAGGGCACTTGCCAACTCCTTTTGTTTCTTCAACCTCATACATTGCTGTTTCAAGGAAATATATACTACCATAGCCTTATGCTCTTGTTGACATAGGTGTGCCCAATAAGCGAGACTGTCACACACACACACACACACACACACACACTCCAGGAACTACAGCCCAGGTGTCCACACTCCTGGTGTGCTTTCCAGAAGTCCCCTAAGATTGCAAATAAAGATGGTTTACTTGGTGAATGTCTAATTGCTCCAATACATTTTGGGCTAATTGTGTTGTTGTTTTTTAAATTTTTATTTATTTATTTGTTGTGTATACAGTGTTCTGCCTGCATATATGCCTGCAGGCCAGAAGAGGGCACCAGATCTCAATACAGATGGTCGTGAGTCACCATGTGGTTGCTGGGAATTGAACTCAGGATTTTATACTGAAGCAAATAAAACAGGAAAGGCAGGTTACAAATCAGAAGAATTAGGTAAGGTGGAACAGAGTCCTTACAATTCTGTCCAAAAGGCAGAATTATATGCTATTTTTATGATACTAAGGGATTTTAAAGAAACTCTCATTATAGTTACTGACTCACAATATGTAGCAAGAGTTGTCTTACATATTGAAACTGCTGAATTTATACCAGATGATACAGGGTTGACTTCATTGTTCATCCAGGTGCAAGACATAATCAGGAATAGGCTTTGTCCTATATACATAACACACATCTGATCCCATGCGGGTCTGCCAGGTCCTCTACCACAAGGTAATGCAGAAATTGATCGATTATTGATTGGAAGTGTGTTACAGGCCTCTGAATTTCACAAAAAAAAAACATCATATCAATAGCAAAAGTTTAAAGAAAGAGTTTTCTCTTACATGGCAACAAGTTAAGGAGATTATAAAGAGATGCCTTACTTGATCTTTCTATAACCAAACACGGTTACCTGCAG